TATCCTGGGAAGGCTTTTTTTTTTTTTCAGAGAAGTTTTAGCTTAATAGCAAAATTGAGCAGAAAGTATAGGGTACCCATATGCATCTTCCTCCCCCACCCTCTCGCATGCATAGCCTCCCCCATTATCAACATCAGACTGGAGCAGCACTTTTGTTACAATGGAAGAACCTAGACAGATGCATCTTGGTCAGCCAAAGTCTGTACTTCGGTTTATTCTTGGTGTTGTACCTTCTGCGGGTTTGGACAAATGTGGAATGACATGTATCCATCTTATGGCATCATATAGAATAGTTTCATTACCTGAAAAATCCCTTCGTGCTTTGCCTTCCCTTCACCCAGCTCCTGCAACCACTGATCTTTTTACTGCCTCCATGGTTTTGCCTTTTGCAGAGTATTATAGAATTCGAATTGTACAGTACCCATCCTTCTCAGGTTGGCTTCTTCACTTAGTATGTATTGAAAGTTCCTCCATGTCTGTTCATGGCTTAATAGCTCCCTTCCTTCCATCGTGTGGATGGCTCCAGGCACACATTTTTGAAGAGGGAGTTAATCGAGTCTAAAGCAAGTTTCACCACTGAAGTGGTGGTTTGTACCTGCATGGTGTTAGCACAAATATACCGGGAGGGAGTCCTGCTAGTGCACAGCGGCTGAAAGGTCGCGAGTTAGTTAGTTCTTTGCATCGTGCTTCTGCCTCCGGAATACCGCTCTCAGAATAAGAATATGGAAGATTATGGCTCAGGTGTCTTTGCTGCCCACACATTTTTTTCACATGTTTGGATGTAAATGGCCCCACAGAGACTAAGTTCTGTTTAGAGAGCATAGACTGTGTTACAACAGAGTGAAGGAAGGTAGCGGCCGCACTCCTCAGGTATGTAGCAGCAGGCCTTCTACCCATGAGCCTAGCCCCAGGCCCCTTCTGTCTTGTGGCTCTGCCATGCACACAGCCTGGTCATTTCCTTCATCTCGCTAGAGTTATGTGTGCTCTTTTGAAAAAATTGTGAGCATTACGCCAAAGTCATGTGTGAGAAATAATCTGATAATAATATTCTGATGTCAGGTGGCCATCCAGTAGGGCCCTGGTGAAGCCTGGGAGATGGGCAAGTTTTAATAAAAAAAACCACAGAGACCAAAGTATGGGGTACCAGCCTATGGCGTATCAGGCTGGGTGCTGATCCTGAGTTTCTTAGGGCAAGGTGTGACTCATAACGGGGTGCCAAGATCCCATATAGGAGTTGTAATGTTGAGTTCTCGTTGCTTTATTAAGGCCTGCCTGTGGCCTCGTAGGAAGACGCTGACTGGACAGCCTGAGACCACCTCTGGGGCTCAGCCTGGCCCCTAGGTGCCTGGCGGGGTGCTCCATGGAGGGCTGTACCTCACACTCCTGGTGCCTGATATCCACTGATGCTGACTCCAGCCTTTGCTTCTCTAAGTGAACAGAGCTCAGGGTAGCTGGTTTCGTGGCCATCCTTGGATAGGTTTCAAGGGTGAAATGAGAAAGAG